AGAGCCCAGCATAGCTTCACGTCTAGGAAACACACTCGCTAAGAGATGTATGGCCTCCTGCTGCGTCTTCGGGCGGCTCCCGGACAGCCCTTGGGGCCACCCTGCATCCCAAGTCCAAGGTGCTGGACTCCTCTACGGACTGCACAGGGCACGCAGGTGCTTAATGTGGGCCTCCTAGGCTCGCTGCCCCAGGGCGATGGACAGAGGCACCTAGTGCTTAGGTGTGTAAGTCCTTCGTGGAGACAGACACTCATATCCTTCAATGCTGCCTTACCTTGACAAAACAGAGGGGAAAAGTGAGACGGTACCCTCTCTCAGAGAGCAGCAGCTATTACCTATGCATGCCCATTTCCCTCCCATGCCAATGTCTGTATGTATGCATACATATAGGTATGGTTCTGTCATATATACCTCTGTATGCCCATCCTCAAGGGCTGTTGGAATGCATCTTCCAGAAAACCTGCAAGCTCACACCACGGAGGGTTAATGGCCGGTAGGCGTCCGGGTGAAAGCAGCCCGCAGCCTGCCTGCAGTGCAGGCACCTGAACTACGAGCCTGTGGAAAATGAACTTGTCACATGTACAGCCAGCTTCAGAGCAGTATAGGCATCGCACAAAGTCACGCCTTTATTGTGCGATGACAAGAGCAGAATTCCTCTTCTCTGTAGGGAGCCTTCACTGTAAAAGAGCTACAACCCACTAAAAGTACCAATACACAACATTCCCTCCCATTTGGCTAAGAAGGAAACACAGTACAGGAGAGCTCACTGTGAACAAGATTGACTGTAAACTTCTGTGCCACAAGGAGAAATATTGCTGTGTTCAGTTTTGGGCCCCTCACTACAAGAAGGACATTTAGGTACTGGAACGTGTCCAGAGAAGGGCAACGAAGCTGGTGAGGGGGCTGGAGCACAAGTCTTATGAGGAGCGGCTGAGGGAACTGGGGTTGTTCAGTCTGGAGAAGAGGAGGCTGAGGGGAGACCTTATCGCTCTCTACAACTACCTGAAAGGAGGTTGTGGTGAGGTGGGTGTTGGTCTCTTCTCCCAAATAACTAGCAATAGGATGAGACGAAATGGCCTCAATTTGCACCAGGGGAGGTTTAGATTGGATATTAGGAAAAATTGCTTTACAGAGAGAGTGGTCAAGCATTGGAACAGGGTGCCCAGGGCGGTGGTGGAGTCACCATCACTAGAGGTGTTAAAAAATGTGTGGACATGGCACTTAGTTGGCATGGTGGTGTTGGGTTGATGGCTGGACTTGATGACCTTAAAGGTCTTTTCCAACCTTAACAATCCTGTGATTCCTGTGATTGTATAGCTCACTACAAAATATGCACGTGAGAGATTCAGAGGAACATACAGAGGAGTTTTTTCCTATCATAAGCATTAGAAAATTAACCTAGCACTCAGTTAAGGTGCATTCTTAGTTCAAATTTCAAGGTAATCTTTTTTCCTTATTATTCCGTAAGAAATAGCACAGACCACACTAGCACACAATGCCGCACTCCTTAGACAAATAAACAGCTTCAGCTCCTCTGTTGTACCTACACCCCACCGCAACGCCGAACGATGCAGCAGTCAAACCTGCAGCATTAACTCAACGTGACGTTTCACTGCTTCAGCCTCGCCTGTGAAGGGTGCAGTAAGAACAACACCCCAGTGCCTGCAGGTCGGCTGCCGGGGCACAGCCCCACGCTGTCAGCGCCGCGCCGCGCCGGCCTGAGCCTCTCTGCCAACTGCTTCATAGCGAGGCGCGGGGTAATCAATCTGCCCTTTCCCAGGCAAAAATGGTAGTGGCTCAGGAACACGTTAAACTTACCTGACTCCAGCCTGAGGTGAGCGGTGCAGCCTTCCCCCCAGGTGGTGACAGGGGACAGATCCAGCCTGGGGACGCATGTTCAGTGTAGACATCAATCAAACTGTTGTTTCGGCAACAGGAGAAGATGCAGGGCTCAAGACCCAGCCACAGGTTTTAGGCAGGGAGTCAGCACGGTGCTTTGCATGGCTGTGGCAGATCTTTAAGGGCAGATGAAAGCCCTGCCGAGCAGCCCAGCAATCACCAGCAGCGGTCCTGACCAGCGATGCTACACAGTGCTGGGTCTGTGACAGACGGGTGAGAAAAAGCGTGTTCCTGGAGAGGAAATGGGAGCTTGTTTTGACCGTTTAGGGACATACAGGTGAGGGGTATGCAGCACAGAGAATCAGGTTGCTATTGCCACCCCAAGTTTGCTAGCCACCTCCCCAGCTGAACTGCGTGACTGGAAACCTGTAGCAGTGGTACTGAACAAGCCATGAGCTCCCAAGGGGAAGCTTTGCTGAGCAATTTTCATTTCCATTCATCCACAAGCAGGAAAGACAATGTGTTTCCCAAAACTATCAGCAGGTGTTCTGTGGGAAGGTAGTCCAAACCACAGAGATAAGCACATAATTTTTACCTGCTTCTCCAGCTACACCATCTGAAAACATAAGGAGGAGCGATTTGCCATTGCACAGGCTGCTAACAAGGGTTCAAGACATCTAAGTGAAATGTGCATGAGAGTTTTGTGCATCCAAGGCATCAATACACAAGATTTGGTGTATTTAAATATGTCTGTGAATTGCTATCGTGTATAATGATCCTGAGATATCAGTCTGTTATGTCTTCACGCCAGAGTATCACAAAAATATTGACAGACTAATAAGTTACCGGTAAGATGATTTCCTGCTTGTCATAATTGAACAGGGTAAATACAGCACAGGAAACTATGTGCGAGTGTGAGTTTCAAATACTCAGATCAGAATAAATGAATAGGTGACTTTTGGTAAAGGAAAAGGTATCTTACAGGAAATACGACCAGAAGGAACTGTGAGAAGGTATTGCAGAGTGGGAAGCACTCGATTTATCCTATCAGCCACAGATTAGCTGCCACTCACTCGTACTCGTACCTCCATGTGGTGTCACGCTTCCTCGGTGCTGTGTAGGTGGCTGTGGCTGAGGGCTGAGAGGACAGGACTACTTCAACTTCGGCGGGGTTTTGCTCTGAAATGAAGGGTAGCCCAAATCACTCCTTACCTGAATGCCTTCCTGAAGGAAGGGCAGCAGTTGGTCTTGCTGTGTTTTTGCTTTTGCTATGACGTTAGAATGACCCACCTTAGAAAAATTCTGTCAAGTGATTATATTGTTTTACACGATTTGTTCTTGACTCAACTTTCTGATAGAACCTGAAAACAAAAGTGAGAATGGCTTTGCAGATCCTCTGAGAACTAAAGAAGCAGTAATGGTGGTAGGAGCTTGAAATAATTGTACTTGATCAGAATGTGTGGCAGCTTTGTACCAGCTGCTGTTTCCTTATAAATATTCTGATTTGTTGTAAATTACTATCCATCATATTTGGATAAACACGGGGCAGAAAAATATAGTGCTGGTTGAGCAGACATGAAAGATCTCATGAGATACCATAAACTTTCTGTGAGATAAAATGTGAGGTTGTGTGTCGCGGTGCAGCTCACACAGGTACAGACCAGAACAGGGTAAGAGAGGAGACATGGTACTTTCAGGACTCCTGGCCAGTCAGAAAGCAAAACTCTCTCCTCTAAGAGGAAGATACGCGGTTCCAGCACCCTATTGAAAGTACCTGTGCAGAGATTCCCGCTCAAGAGCTGCAGAAAGGGTCTAGAGGAGAAAGAACTGGAGCCTTCCTCATCCCATCAAACATGACTCCCTCTTTCAGAATTTGCATAAATTACCTGCAGCATCTAGACCCACGCAGTATATTGGAAAGTTTTATTGCATTGACTACAGAAGTCCTACAACTCCCTCAGTCTGTAGTAGGGAAATAAAGAGTCCGCAGTTGGTAGGAAGAAACCCTCTAACAGGTCATGGCAGAAAATTCTCATAATCATTTGTTGTTACCTATACGTAACCCACCTCACTGAATATCACCCAACAATACCTGCAATAAACTCATTATTGCAATACAGATTTGAACCTGGGCAGATATTTTGAATGGTCCCCTGATTTGCTCAGATGGTTCTGATTTGCTCACTCCATTATGTGCAATGCAGATTTTACAACAAACCAAGGCAAGGTCTGGTTAATTACTCCATTGTTGAAAATATTAAGAATCATAATTAGTAATGTTCCAAATAAGGTGGCATTAATAGACAAGTCAAGTTCTGATTATGGAGTTTGCTATGCCCTGTCAAAAACATAGACTAATTGTAAAGACTATTTTTTTGCCTTGGAGGTAGCAATATTTAGACCTAAAATCTGTTGGTAGCAAGCAACTCTGAATTTCAGATATCTAAGTATATTTGGACAACTGAGTATAAGTGTTCCTGCATAGCTTTGAGCACTGACCCTTTGGAAAATCAGTCAATAAAAATTGCTAGGAGAAGATAACAAAGGTAAAGGAATCAGACAACAGTTGAACCTGCAGACAAAGAAGGAGGTTTCTTGTATGCCTATGTCCTTTTTTGACACTATGTAATTTTGGTTTCTTTAATTTTATATACTAAATTCATAGATTATATCACATTGCGAGCTAGAAATTTATACTTTTTCAAAGGACTACTAAAAAGATCAAGGCAACTGAATAATGTGTTAAAGACAGGAGACCAAATCCAATGAAAGATGAAAATGTGTGATTAAAAAAGAAGCATATTTTCCCTTTAAGCTTTTAACAGGGAGTTATGAACGGTGTTTTTATTGTTTGTTGTTTGTTTTCTTTTCAGATAAACAAACACAGGTCTCATTCGTAAGCTAACAAAGTGCGTAAACCATTGCAAATTGTAAATGCAATGAATGTAGCAGTTCAGTGTGCACTTTGGAGATTACAGTGGCAAAGGAATGGTGCAGAAAGTTTGTGTTTCCTTCCTTAAAGTAGGTTTAAGATTACAAATTAATCTCAAGAGAGATTATGATTATCTTGAAGAGTTAATGAGTATCTTAAAACTGCCTGTTCCTCTTAATTGTCCAAAGGCCAGTTGATCCTGAAGCGTATAAAACACCAGTGCGTGAAGATGAGAAGCACAGCTGAGACGGCCAGCAAACACAGAGCAGACAGGAACCAAGTGCTGTGTCTGCTGAAAAAGATGTCAAAAGGAGTTTCTACCTTCATTCGTCTTTTTGTGCTCTTACTCAGTTTCTCCACCATTTGTCTGGGAGTCTTCTGCATTTCCACAAGTTCCTCCACATGCAGATGTGGTAGTAACCAGCTGGTGTTTTATTGCCTGTTAGCTTTGGGGTTCTTTCTCCTTATGACTGGCATTTTCTGGAGCGCTTTCCATGAAGTCTTCAAATACAGGGGCCTCAGCAGCATCTTCATTCAAAGTCTCAGCTGTAGAGGGCTACATGTCAACACCATCGACAGGTATGTGTTGCAGAGTGCTGCTGATGAACTGGGAGGGAGGGATGCTGTTTTGTACACATACTGTGAGAAGAAAGAATCAATACAAGTTTTTTACAAAATAAAGGCTATGTAGCCATTTTATTATGGGTTTTTTTTTTTGTGGGAATATCTATAATCTGAAATTGGATTTGCTAGGGCAAGCAGCAACGTGCAAAGAGCAATTTGTGCAAAGGATGCATAAGGTAAGGTATACCACAGGAAACGTGGCGGGTTGCACATAGTGGTCCAAAGCCACGCGTGGAGGGAGCAGGTGCAGCTGCGCCGACTCCATGGAGCTCTGCAGGAGCATCATTAGTTCCATCTCAACAGACAACCCCCGACGTGCTGCTGTGGGGTATGTGCTCACACTATGTGTTACTCATGAAGTATGCAGGGAGCTTCAGCTCCCGACATGGTCCCTGCTAAAGTTTTCCGGTGTAATTGCCGCTGCTATTTCTGAGCAGAGCAAAGTCTCATGCTTTGAGAGAGTTTCTTAAACTGATTGGCGCTAAGCCCGACAGAAGTCTTTAAGAGGCTCACTGGGTACAGATAACATTTCCTGGGCTGTTGTGGCAACCGCAGCAGAAACACCCACAATGGGTGCTCTAAAAGCACTATAAAAAACAACATTCAGCAAATTTTGGTTAGATAAGCAGAAACATACAACATGTATTTTAAAACTGTGGAAAATGTTTACTATTATAGTAATAAACAACTCACTAATTTAACCTACTTCAGACAGTGATCTCCTTTTTCTTCCACCTCAAACTTTCCATGGGCACTTGTTGAAATATTCACAAGGATGAGTGTTTGTATACCGTGGGTGGGAACTCTCATGGGGAAGGCTTGTCTTTTTGGGACACTGCGTTTTAATAAAACATTTTGCAGAAAGACACAGGTAATGATCCCAGCTATGCCAGCTGTTTTATATTAATATACTCTGTTGATCTAAATCTACTTAGGCTTCCATTTACAGTTTAAGCCTCATCTAAACTTTGGAAGCGTAACAGACAAAGCCTCTAACCAAGCTCTCTCAGATAAATCACATTTCACCATGATGTGTTTCTTGTTGGTTTGCTTTTTTTCAGGCCTGACTTCTATCCCCCCTCCTATGAAGACAGCACAGACCCTGAAAAACAGACCTCCCCACTGCCAGTTATCTCCACACTAAAACAGCAAGAAGTCGTCAATATCCCGCCGCCTCCATACAGCGAAAGCAGCGCAGAGTTCGTCAGTGAGACTTACGAGCAGGAACAGCCACCACCATATGAATTATCTGTGCCGCAGCTACGGCAGCAGCAAACAGCTGACCAAGGCTCAGACCCTGGAGGAGAGTCAAGTTCTCATCCATCCACACAAGAAAACAGTTACCAACAGGATGCAGGCTGCCGGGGACCTCAGAAAGAGCAACGCCTGTCAAAACGTCTGAGACAGGCAGCGGGTAAAATCCTGCATCTGTGAAGCGGGGAAAATTGGAAGAAGACATGCGTCAGTGGTCCCTAACAGAAGCTACCCAGGAGAATCATTGACCATTTGTGTGTTTGAGTGGAGTTAGAGGGGATATATATATGAAAATGTGCTCAGTATTTCAAAGCAGAATGAATCTCCATAGAGATAGAAACAATCAGATTGTATCTTATAAAAGTCAACATCATAGGCAATAACAGTTCCTTACGCTGTGAGATAAATCAAGCATCATGCTGCTATCAATCTTAAATGTCTTGTGTCCCTTAAGGAGTTTGCGCTGAAAGTCCTCATTTGTGGTTTTGTAACATTAGCTGACTTGGAAACCTATTAAGCCAGCCTTTGTTTGGAATTTGTAAATTATTTGTTATTGATTATTTTTGTATCATATGCCTTTCAAGTTACTTGTTTTATTTTGGGGTACTAATAGCTGGCATTTTACTATTGAATTGATGAACAAATTTTGTATTTAAAATAAATGTCTCATATTTGCTTATATGATACAATGTGTCTGTGATTCAGGGTAAGCACACAATACAATACTCTTAACACACTTCCTAGCTGCTAAACAGGCAAGCCTGGTTATGCCCACAGCTCCTCAGAGATAACTAGCAACTGCAGGAGGAGAAACCTTCTCTGACTCCTCTGAGATGTCTCTAAAAGCAGTTGCTTCCACTGCAGCTTATCTGAGACTTAAAAAAGGGGTCCCGTATCCTGCTTCTGACACAAGCGGCCTCATGGTTGGGCAACAAGTACCAGAAAGAGGATAGGCTCGGACTCATCCTTCCTCTGTTAGGTATTACCATCCTTCCATAAAATTGCTGAGGCAGATTTGCATCCAGGCCACTGTCATTTATAATTCCCAGTGACACGAAAAATTTCATAGAGATTCACTCAGATTTGGACCTGCAACACTGGCTATAGGTAGAGTTTTGCTTTTTCATAGAATCGTAGAAGGGTTGGAAGGGACCTTTAAAGGTCACTAGTCCATCCCCCCTGCGATGAGCAGGAACATCTTCAACTAGATCAGGTTGCTCAGAGCCCCGTCCAACCTGACCTTGAAGGTTTCCAGGGATGGGGCAACCTGTTCCTGTTTTTGTTGCAGAACCAGCGAGACAGAAAAGTTGCCACGCTTTCTGGATGCCCGCATACCCCAAGACAACTTTAGCATTATGGCTGCATATACATTAGAAACGCAAGCCATGATGGTGATGGTAACAATGGCTAAGGCCAGGGAAGTGGCAATCACATAATTTTTTTCTTCCAAAGAATTTCGTCCTTTATGGGAAGGACCTATAAAATTTCAGTTGATGTAAGGACAATGGAAAGCAAGATAAAATTGGGTGGAGAAACTACGGAGAAAGGAAAATCAATTCAAGATGAGTTAAGGAAGAGAAATGTATTAAAAAAATCACAGAGAGTCCCTGAAAAAGGTAGAAGCAGATAGAAGATGCCGTCAGCATATAAAGGGTTTTCAAAGTGACTGGGAAGTGGCACAGCACAGAGGAGAACAGTAAAAGTCAGAGGAACATCACACATTGTTTCCAAAACAGCTGAAGTGAGGATCTCCTTTGCCAAGTGACCTTGTTATGGCCTTACCTTTTAGCATTACCATACCCACGTGCTGAAACCACTTGCTGCTTTGCTCCATCAGGAGCCCCAGATCCTGAAGGCTGTATACACTGCACAAGTATTGGTGCAGGGATCAATCACAGCAGATGAAGTGGATTAACGAGAAGATCTCCTGTGGCAAAATGCTTGTCCTGTGCAAGTTAATCTTTTTTTTTTTTTTTTCCTGTGGAAATCTAACTTTTCCACCAAGCACCTTTTAAAGCAAGATCACATGAGTGGGAAATGATTGAGACTACAGGTAGCTCTGAGTGCAAGTACTGCAGGAGTACTGCTGAAGTTTGGTACTCTTGGACCAGTTTGCTATAGGAAATCACATTCAGATTCTTTCCACATAGTTATGGATAATCAGGAAGAGCTAGTCCTCCCTTCCTTTCCCCTAGTCCCAGGGCAGTCCTGCAGTGCCCCTTTTTATCTCCAGCCTTCTGCAGATGTTGTGAGGTCTCAATGGATCCAGAAATGTGAAACTGAAGGTAACTGCATCTTCAACCTGCAATATGGAAGAAAGTATTTGAGACACGAAGGTTATTGAGATAAGGAGAAAATTAAGGTTAATATCTAATATTTTATTTGATACAATCTGTTTTCCAGTTGGTCTTTTCAGCTAATGAACTATTTGGCTATGAGCTTAACAGAAAATGGTGTAGGCAATTGGCTCAAAAATGTCAACAATCTTAAAGCAGGAAAAGCTTTGAAATGGTTTGCTTTTGATGAAACTTACTAGCACAAAGCCATCTTTGCCAAAAACAGCAGCTGGAAGTTTTAGATTTAGAGGAAATTTATTTAGACCGAAGGATATAAACAGGTCAAACTGCGGCTTCAGAACAGAACAGGATCTTTCAGTGCATTGACAACTTCCTGACACAGGTGACTGAGGAGACAACAAGGTGTGTGACTGTCCTAATACTTACAATACCAGAAGAAATGAGTGGGCACATGAAGACCTTCGCTGCAGTGATCATGAGATGGTGGAGTTCAGGATCTTGAGAGGAGGGAGAAGGGAAAAATGTGGGACCAAAGTTAGCACAGCCGACTTTAATCTCTTCAGACATCTCCTTGGAAGAACCCTATGGATTACGGCCCTGGAGAGATGAGTCCAGGACAGCTGTTTTGATTTTCAAGTATCACCTCCTTCAAACTCAGGAATGGTTCATGCTGTCATGCAGAAATCAAACAAAGGCAGCATGGACGAGCAGGGAGCTCCTGACTAAATTCAGATATGAACAGGATGTTTATGATAAGTAAAAGCAGGGACAGGTTACCCAGAAGGAATGTAGAGACACTGTCCAATCATGTAAGGATCTCATCATTAGGAAAGCCAAAGCCCACATGGAGTTGAATCTGGTGAGGAATGTGAAGGGCAACAAGAAAAGTTTCTACAGTTACATTCAGTGAAAGAGGACATGGAAAAGGCTGAGGTGCTCAATGTTTTCTTTACCTCCATCTTAACTGGTAAAACCAGCCTTCAGGAATCCCAGGCCCTCAAAACCAGAGGAAAAGTTTGGAGCAAGGAAGACTTACCCTGCGTGGAGCCGGATCAGATTAGGGCACACTTAAACAAACTGGACGCACACGTCCATGGGATGATTTGGGATGAATGATGGAGCTGAAGAAGCTGGGCCATGCCATTGCAAGGCCACCCTCTGTTATATTTGAAAGATTGTGGTGACTGGGAGAGGTTCCTGAGAACTGGAAGAGAGCAAATGTCAGTCCTGTCTCCAAGAGAAGGAGGATCTGGGGCGTTACAGGCTGGTCAGCTTCATCTCTGTCCCTGCGGAGGTGATGGAGCAACTAATCCTGGAAACCCTTGCCAAAACCATGAAGGGCAAAAAGGCGACTGGGAGTGGTCAGCATGGATTTATGAAGGGGAAATGAGGTTTAACCAACTTGATGATATTCTGCAATGAGACAACTGGTTCGGTGGATGGAGTGAGAGCAGTAGACACCTTCTTTAACGATCTGGACGATGGGACAGAGTGCACCCTCAGCAGTTTTGCAGATGATACAACACTGGAAGGAGCAGCTGACACAACAGAGGGCTTTGCTGGTATTCAGAGGGACATGGGTGGGCTGGAGAAATGGGCCAACAAGAACTTCATGAAGTTCAGCAAAGGGAAATGCAAAGTCCTGTCCTTGGGGAGAAACAAACCCAGGTACCAGTTCATGCTGGGACCAGTGGGCTGTGAAGCAGCTCCAGAGAGAGACCTGGGGGTCACACGCTAGCCAACAAGTTGACCACTTGCCAGCAACTCACCTGCACAGCAGAGATGGCCCGTGGCATCCTGGGCAGCATTAGGAAAAGCATCACCAGCAGGTGGAGGGAGGTGATCCTTCCCCTCTGCTCAGCACTGCTGAGATGCATCTGGAGTGCTGGTTACAGGTCTGGGCTCCCCAGTACAAAAGAGACAAGGACATACTGGAGTACTCCCAGTAAAGGGCCAAAAAAATCAAGGGAATGGAGCATTTGTCATATGACAAGAGGCTAAGAGAGCTGGGAATGTTTAGCCTGGAGAAGAGGAGGGATCAGGAGGGATCTTACTGACTTCTATAAATACCGCATGGAAGAGAAAGAAGAGGATGGAGCCAGGCTCTTCTCAGTGGTGCCTAGTGACAGGACAAGAGGCAATGGGCATACACTGAAACACATGAAATTCCATCTGAACACTCACAGAACCATAGAATCACAGAATCTTTGGGTGGGAAGGGACCTTTAAAGGTCATCTTGTCCAAGCCTGCTGCAATGAGCAGGGACAACTTCCAACTACATCATGTCGCTCAGAGCCCCATCCAACCTAACCTTGAAGGGTGTTTCCAGGGATGGGGCATCTACCACTGCTATGGGAAACCTGTGCCAGTATCTCACCACCCTCATTCTGAAAAGTTTCTTCCTTATATCTAGTTGAAATCTCCCCTCTTTTAGTTTAAAACCATTACCCCTTGTCCTACAGCAACAGGCCCTGCTAAAAAGTCTGTCCCCATCTTTCTTATAAGCCTTTTTTAAGCACTGGCAGGCTGCAATAAGGTCTCCCCGGAGCCTTCTCTTCTCCAGAGTGAACAACCCCAACCCTCCCAGCCTGTCCTCCCAGATGAGGTGTTCCAGCCCTCTGATCATTTTGGTGGCCCTCCTCGGGACCTCCTCCAACAGGTCCATGTCTTTCCTGTGCTGAAGGCCCCAGAGCCGGACACAATACTCCAGGTGGGGTCTCACCAGAGCAGTGAGAGGGGCACTCAAGGAAATTGATTTTTTTTTTTACTATGGGAGTAGTAAAAAACCTGAACTTGCTCTGAGCTGCAGGATGGACTGCATAATTCTAGTCCAAATGGACTAGATGGTCCTTTCCACCCTCAAGGATGCTGTGATCCTGTGT